AGATATAGGAGACTATGTGAGATAGCTCAAGAAGGGTTGCGGGGTTTTCTCCCGACAGCGCACACTGAAGGGATAAATCTTCTGATACCGTGAGCATCTGTCGACTTTCCTTCCACGATCCCGACATACCGCCCCAGTTTATCACGCAGTATGTATACCTTCGAGGACATCAGTTCTAGGTACCAAAAAAAGGTGCTTCATGGAGTACTGAATGCATGCTAGAGAATACTGCAGCGAGAGGCGCCTGTTTGCCAAGGCATTCAGATGGTACGGTAATTCGGGATACCGAATTCTGAGCGATCTGGGAATGTCGCAGGAGATTTTTAAACAAGTGCCCGCTGCCGACGCATTCCTCTATCATCCCTTGGTCTGTTCTATCTCTATCTATTTTACTAAGGTGTTATAACGTTCAGCGAACGCACAAAACAATGAGCACACAGAAGAATGCAACCGATTCACTGGATGATGGAGCAGCTCAGTTAGCGCCCGCGTCGCAGTCGAGAGGTGGCCAAACCCGCGGTAGGGGAACCAGAGGTCGTGGTGGTCGAGGAGGCCCACAAGGTAGAGGAGGTGCGCGAACACCAACTCAAACCGAAGCCTCACAGAATCGAGCCCCCCCACAGACAGTCACAGCTACGGTGGCTAAACCAGTACAGACGAAGGATAAGAGTTTAGAGCCCAATAAGAAATCAACAAAGGCCTCTCCTCTTAATAATGATCCTATGTACCAGGATGTGGATCTTGAGGGATTCTATCCAATGAGACAGGTTTATGCAAACCGAAAGTTCACCCCAACGTTCGAGGGATTTATTCCACTCGTTAAAGAGGTATATAATCAACTGAGTGCTGCAAATAAGACCGTATCAAAGTACATGTATATAATATTACATAATTACTCCCAACTCCTACAAGACATAGTACCCCTCATATAACCATGTTATTACAATTATTCGAATATGAAATCAAATTTTTTGTTTTATCATGTGTCAATTTTCGGCAAATTTGCACTTTCTGCTTTTACGAATCGAATGTCCATGATTGTTTTATTCAATAAAATGTCAAAACGATAATTTTTACGTTGTTTAGGAGTTTTTTAGAAATAGTTAAAGAAGACAACTTTGGTACGAGTGACATACGGACATCTCTTTGTTCACAATTTGTATGACGTCACATCATCGCCGATAGTAATTTCACCATTTCGTATTAAGAATGAAAAGTATATTTATTTTAAATTGGAACTATATGTTCATATAAACTAAAGCTCGCCTCCTGTAAGAATATTACAAATAAAAGACGTTAATTATTAATTATTATTTTGCGTTTAAAAAATTGAAATTGATATATTTCGTTTTCCTTAGGCAAATACTGTAAGAAATACTAATTTATTCTATGAAATTAGAAATGTCAAGTAGCTATTAAAATATAGGACAGGTGGCTGACATGGCGAAGGTTTTTGGTGACATCAAATCGTCGCATCATGTTCTATTATGACTTGGCCTGTCCCCCGTTTCCGGCTCGACGTCGACTTCTTATATTTTGTCATATGATATTAATGTTAATTATTTGGATTAGAGGTAGCGCAGATATAGGAGACTATGTGAGATAGCTCAAGAAGGGTTTCGGGGTTTTCTCCCGACAGCGCACACTGAAGGGATAAATCTTCTGATACCGTGAGCATCTGTCGACTTTCCTTCCACGATCCCGACATACCGCCCCAGTTTATCACGCAGTATGTATACCTTCGAGGACATCAGTTCTAGGTACCAAAAAAAGGTGCTTCATGGAGTACTGAATGCATGCTAGAGAATACTGCAGCGAGAGGCGCCTGTTTGCCAAGGCATTCAGATGGTACGGTAATTCGGGATACCGAATTCTGAGCGATCTGGGAATGTCGCAGGAGATTTTTAAACAAGTGCCCGCTGCCGACGCATTCCTCTATCATCCCTTGGTCTGTTCTATCTCTATCTATTTTACTAAGGTGTTATAACGTTCAGCGAACGCACAAAACAATGAGCACACAGAAGAATGCAACCGATTCACTGGATGATGGAGCAGCTCAGTTAGCGCCCGCGTCGCAGTCGAGAGGTGGCCAAACCCGCGGTAGGGGAACCAGAGGTCGTGGTGGTCGAGGAGGCCCACAAGGTAGAGGAGGTGCGCGAACACCAACTCAAACCGAAGCCTCACAGAATCGAGCCCCCCCACAGACAGTCACAGCTACGGTGGCTAAACCAGTACAGACGAAGGATAAGAGTTTAGAGCCCAATAAGAAATCAACAAAGGCCTCTCCTCTTAATAATGATCCTATGTACCAGGATGTGGATCTTCAGGGATTCTATCCAATGAGACAGGTTTATGCAAACCGAAAGTTCACCCCAACGTTCGAGGGATTTATTCCACTCGTTAAAGAGGTATATAATCAACTGAGTGCTGCAAATAAGACCGTATCAAAGTACATGTATATAATATTACATAATTACTCCCAACTCCTACAAGACATAGTACCCCTCATATAACCATGTTATTACAATTATTCGAATATGAAATCAAATTTTTTGTTTTATCATGTGTCAATTTTCGGCAAATTTGCACTTTCTGCTTTTACGAATCGAATGTCCATGATTGTTTTATTCAATAAAATGTCAAAACGATAATTTTTACGTTGTTTAGGAGTTTTTTAGAAATAGTTAAAGAAGACAACTTTGGTACGAGTGACATACGGACATCTCTTTGTTCACAATTTGTATGACGTCACATCATCGCCGATAGTAATTTCACCATTTCGTATTAAGAATGAAAAGTATATTTATTTTAAATTGGAACTATATGTTCATATAAACTAAAGCTCGCCTCCTGTAAGAATATTACAAATAAAAGACGTTAATTATTAATTATTATTTTGCGTTTAAAAAATTGAAATTGATATATTTCGTTTTCCTTAGGCAAATACTGTAAGAAATACTAATTTATTCTATGAAATTAGAAATGTCAAGTAGCTATTAAAATATAGGACAGGTGGCTGACATGGCGAAGGTTTTTGGTGACATCAAATCGTCGCATCATGTTCTATTATGACTTGGCCTGTCCCCCGTTTCCGGCTCGACGTCGACTTCTTATATTTTGTCATATGATATTAATGTTAATTATTTGGATTAGAGGTAGCGCAGATATAGGAGACTATGTGAGATAGCTCAAGAAGGGTTGCGGGGTTTTCTCCCGACAGCGCACACTGAAGGGATAAATCTTCTGATACCGTGAGCATCTGTCGACTTTCCTTCCACGATCCCGACATACCGCCCCAGTTTATCACGCAGTATGTATACCTTCGAGGACATCAGTTCTAGGTACCAAAAAAAGGTGCTTCATGGAGTACTGAATGCATGCTAGAGAATACTGCAGCGAGAGGCGCCTGTTTGCCAAGGCATTCAGATGGTACGGTAATTCGGGATACCGAATTCTGAGGGATCTGGGAATGTCGCAGGAGATTTTTAAACAAGTGCCCGCTGCCGACGCATTCCTCTATCATCCCTTGGTCTGTTCTATCTCTATCTATTTTACTAAGGTGTTATAACGTTCAGCGAACGCACACAACAATGAGCACACAGAAGAATGCAACCGATTCACTGGATGATGGAGCAGCTCAGTTAGCGCCCGCGTCGCAGTCGAGAGGTGGCCAAACCCGCGGTAGGGGAACCAGAGGTCGTGGTGGTCGAGGAGGCCCACAAGGTAGAGGAGGTGCGCGAACACCAACTCAAACCGAAGCCTCACAGAATCGAGCCCCCCCACAGACAGTCACAGATACGGTGGCTAAACCAGTACAGACGAAGGATAAGAGTTTAGAGCCCAATAAGAAATCAACAAAGGCCTCTCCTCTTAATAATGATCCTATGTACCAGGATGTGGATCTTGAGGGATTCTATCCAATGAGACAGGTTTATGCAAACCGAAAGTTCACCCCAACGTTCGAGGGATTTATTCCACTCGTTAAAGAGGTATATAATCAACTGAGTGCTGCAAATAAGACCGTATCAAAGTACATGTATATAATATTACATAATTACTCCCAACTCCTACAAGACATAGTACCCCTCATATAACCATGTTATTACAATTATTCGAATATGAAATCAAATTTTTTGTTTTATCATGTGTCAATTTTCGGCAAATTTGCACTTTCTGCTTTTACGAATCGAATGTCCATGATTGTTTTATTCAATAAAATGTCAAAACGATAATTTTTACGTTGTTTAGGAGTTTTTTAGAAATAGTTAAAGAAGACAACTTTGGTACGAGTGACATACGGACATCTCTTTGTTCACAATTTGTATGACGTCACATCATCGCCGATAGTAATTTCACCATTTCGTATTAAGAATGAAAAGTATATTTATTTTAAATTGGAACTATATGTTCATATAAACTAAAGCTCGCCTCCTGTAAGAATATTACAAATAAAAGACGTTAATTATTAATTATTATTTTGCGTTTAAAAAATTGAAATTGATATATTTCGTTTTCCTTAGGCAAATACTGTAAGAAATACTGATTTATTCTATGAAATTAGAAATGTCAAGTAGCTATTAAAATATAGGACAGGTGGCTGACATGGCGAAGGTTTTTGGTGACATCAAATCGTCGCATCATGTTCTATTATGACTTGGCCTGTCCCCCGTTTCCGGCTCGACGTCGACTTCTTATATTTTGTCATATGATATTAATGTTAATTATTTGGATTAGAGGTAGCGCAGATATAGGAGACTATGTGAGATAGCTCAAGAAGGGTTGCGGGGTTTTCTCCCGACAGCGCACACTGAAGGGATAAATCTTCTGATACCGTGAGCATCTGTCGACTTTCCTTCCACGATCCCGACATACCGCCCCAGTTTATCACGCAGTATGTATACCTTCGAGGACATCAGTTCTAGGTACCAAAAAAAGGTGCTTCATGGAGTACTGAATGCATGCTAGAGAATACTGCAGCGAGAGGCGCCTGTTTGCCAAGGCATTCAGATGGTACGGTAATTCGGGATACCGAATTCTGAGCGATCTGGGAATGTCGCAGGAGATTTTTAAACAAGTGCCCGCTGCCGACGCATTCCTCTATCATCCCTTGGTCTGTTCTATCTCTATCTATTTTACTAAGGTGTTATAACGTTCAGCGAACGCACAAAACAATGAGCACACAGAAGAATGCAACCGATTCACTGGATGATGGAGCAGCTCAGTTAGCGCCCGCGTCGCAGTCGAGAGGTGGCCAAACCCGCGGTAGGGGAACCAGAGGTCGTGGTGGTCGAGGAGGCCCACAAGGTAGAGGAGGTGCGCGAACACCAACTCAAACCGAAGCCTCACAGAATCGAGCCCCCCCACAGACAGTCACAGCTACGGTGGCTAAACCAGTACAGACGAAGGATAAGAGTTTAGAGCCCAATAAGAAATCAACAAAGGCCTCTCCTCTTAATAATGATCCTATGTACCAGGATGTGGATCTTGAGGGATTCTATCCAATGAGACAGGTTTATGCAAACCGAAAGTTCACCCCAACGTTCGAGGGATTTATTCCACTCGTTAAAGAGGTATATAATCAACTGAGTGCTGCAAATAAGACCGTATCAAAGTACATGTATATAATATTACATAATTACTCCCAACTCCTACAAGACATAGTACCCCTCATATAACCATGTTATTACAATTATTCGAATATGAAATCAAATTTTTTGTTTTATCATGTGTCAATTTTCGGCAAATTTGCACTTTCTGCTTTTACGAATCGAATGTCCATGATTGTTTTATTCAATAAAATGTCAAAACGATAATTTTTACGTTGTTTAGGAGTTTTTTAGAAATAGTTAAAGAAGACAACTTTGGTACGAGTGACATACGGACATCTCTTTGTTCACAATTTGTATGACGTCACATCATCGCCGATAGTAATTTCACCATTTCGTATTAAGAATGAAAAGTATATTTATTTTAAATTGGAACTATATGTTCATATAAACTAAAGCTCGCCTCCTGTAAGAATATTACAAATAAAAGACGTTAATTATTAATTATTATTTTGCGTTTAAAAAATTGAAATTGATATATTTCGTTTTCCTTAGGCAAATACTGTAAGAAATACTAATTTATTCTATGAAATTAGAAATGTCAAGTAGCTATTAAAATATAGGACAGGTGGCTGACATGGCGAAGGTTTTTGGTGACATCAAATCGTCGCATCATGTTCTATTATGACTTGGCCTGTCCCCCGTTTCCGGCTCGACGTCGACTTCTTATATTTTGTCATATGATATTAATGTTAATTATTTGGATTAGAGGTAGCGCAGATATAGGAGACTATGTGAGATAGCTCAAGAAGGGTTGCGGGGTTTTCTCCCGACAGCGCACACTGAAGGGATAAATCTTCTGATACCGTGAGCATCTGTCGACTTTCCTTCCACGATCCCGACATACCGCCCCAGTTTATCACGCAGTATGTATACCTTCGAGGACATCAGTTCTAGGTACCAAAAAAGGTGCTTCATGGAGTACTGAATGCATGCTAGAGAATACTGCAGCGAGAGGCGCCTGTTTGCCAAGGCATTCAGATGGTACGGTAATTCGGGATACCGAATTCTGAGCGATCTGGGAATGTCGCAGGAGATTTTTAAACAAGTGCCCGCTGCCGACGCATTCCTCTATCATCCCTTGGTCTGTTCTATCTCTATCTATTTTACTAAGGTGTTATAACGTTCAGCGAACGCACAAAACAATGAGCACACAGAAGAATGCAACCGATTCACTGGATGATGGAGCAGCTCAGTTAGCGCCCGCGTCGCAGTCGAGAGGTGGCCAAACCCGCGGTAGGGGAACCAGAGGTCGTGGTGGTCGAGGAGGCCCACAAGGTAGAGGAGGTGCGCGAACACCAACTCAAACCGAAGCCTCACAGAATCGAGCCCCCTCACAGACAGTCACAGCTACGGTGGCTAAACCAGTACAAACGAAGGATAAGAGTTTAGAGCCCAATAAGAAATCAACAAAGGCCTCTCCTCTTAATAATGATCCTATGTACCAGGATGTGGATCTTGAGGGTTTCTATCCAATGAGACAGGTTTATGCAAACCGAAAGTTCACCCCAACGTTCGAGGGATTTATTCCACTCGTTAAAGAGGTATATAATCAACTGAGTGCTGCAAATAAGACCGTATCAAAGTACATGTATATAATATTACATAATTACTCCCAACTCCTACAAGACATAGTACCCCTCATATAACCATGTTATTACAATTATTCGAATATGAAATCAAATTTTTTGTTTTAAGTTTAGTATAACTACAAATGTACGTAAGCTAAGAGCCCAAATTAAACAAGTAAAAATTCTAGAGGGATTCTGCATTCGTGAAATCATCATTCTTGAAGTCAAAGTGAAGGCAAAGGTGGTTAGAATACTTATAATTTGAGGTCCTCTGGTTTATCTTATAACAATAACAGCGAATTTGATGAAGTCTCATGTACAACCAAAATACTCGTACATCATACAAGAGGCTGTTTGAGGTTCATTATAGGCGGCACATACTTAATTTTATGCGAGTACGCTTGTTGGGGTAGCAAGGAACTGAGCAGCATATACGTAATCAGCGCGGTCAATCCCCAGATCCTTTGCTGTCCTCCAGTGAACACAGGCATGGAGTAGGCACCACGAAACTGCGTGTAACCCAAGCAATCCGAATGGCAAAGATTTTCCAGTGGTACTGCAAATACCTCTTCTACTTCGTCTTGGTTCACTTTCAACTTGTGTAATTTCTAAAAATTGAGAAAATACGTTACTGCAGCGCGGCCAGACATTACTTGTTTCATGAAATAGAATTGCATTGAATCACTACTTAATATTATAAATGAGAAAATGTAGATGTTTGCTACTGAATCACGCCAAAACGGATGATCGAAAGGAGTATTATGCAACTTAAAAAGTGACGTTGTCGGTTTTCTGACATTATGTAAGTTTTTTATGACACTATGTAGGTTTTCCTACAAGACTTGAAACTAGTTGTCGTTTACTTCATGCTCACTTGTACCAGGCGCGGAATGAATTATGTACAGACTAGCCGACTTAGTCAACAAGATGAGATTTTATCGTTTTTTTTGACATTACATAGGTTTTTTACGTAGTAACCCTGCCAGTCGGTTGGGCACGGGTATTACGTATTTTGAAAAGTGGCACATTGTCGTTTTTTTTTGACATTGTGTAGGTTTTTTGTTACATAAGGTAGGATTTTCTACAAAATGTTAACTTAGCACTAGCTGTGGTACACTTGTGAACTCGTTTTGTAGTTGTATGTGTTGCCTAAACGTCATAATGCTTCCGCTATCAATTGGAGGTCTAAGCTGTAAGTTGTATACTATAGCTGGAAGGAAACGGCAGTGCATAGTGAAGCTTTGTGTGCTAATAACCTGTGTTGATGATACTTCCATTGGTTTCTTGTCACAAATACATTTACTTGAGATGAATTCAAATCTAGAAATTAGTTGCGCATCCATTTTTTCTTATTCATGCTGGAAATTACATATGTAAATTTACTGAATTTCAAAACTGAGAGAGATAAGAAAAGAATATCCCTGGTTACAAGTAACACAAGTTATTACACGGTATACAAGTAACAGGTGAGAAAATAGGCTACACACAGGAATATTTATGAAACGTAAAAAACCTCTCTAAACCGTCAGGCACATCTAATATATACTTCATTGCTAGCATATTCACCTTCAATTCTTTCACATAACAAATATCACTAATTTTATACACATGCATACCAATACACATAATCATAAAGATGTTATCTTGTTAGTCAACCCACTTTCTTTCTTTCACATCTACTCGGAGGTAAAAACTATCGACTATGTTATCTTTCTACAAGCAACCAACGTTGCATGTCATGTCGTTGAGTCATTCCTCCTAAGATGGATGCTTTTGATGGCGCTCATAGCGATCATATCTGGCAAACGTGGAATGAACTATTTGCACACTAAGAACTGCCTAGTCTACAAGATGACATTTTGTCGTTTTTTTCGACGTTTTCTAGGTTTTTTACATAATACCTCTGCCGATCTGGATGTAATCTGGTAAAAACATCGATTATGATTATAGTCTAGACTAGCAATTAAGCTACTTCTTATTCCGGGAAATAACTTTGAAATATGGGTTCGAGCACAAACGGTTTAATGAGATGCCTCACGTTTATCCTTTCAAAAAATACGTAATGACTGGCAGTTCTGGGATCATGGACTGTATAGTCAGAAATAATATGATGAATAATTTTAATGCCCATACTATATCATACTAAGGTCGTGTCCAGTCAGACGTCGGCATTACTCAGTCCTCACACTAAATGTTGGCGGGCCACTGAGAGATCGTTATTTGCAATTATTTTTAAGACTGAACTATGGAAAATGAAAACTTGATTCAAATCGCCAAATAACTGGAATTATCCGAATAAACGAAGATGAAATGTCAGAACTGACAATGTTCTGCTGAAATGGAATGCTTGTTATACGCGATGTGCTGGATACGACCGCAATATGATCCTAGTATGATAGGATATAATGATCGAGATACATTTTGTTTTACGATCTCTATATCGCGAATACCCATCACTTACCAAAACTCCCTTAACCCTTCCAATAACTGGTAGCACGCTAGTCGACGTTCTAGTAACAATCAAGTTACCACTGCCCCAAATATCAATTTGATTAGGCTCAATTCCTAATTCCTCTTTTGTTTCTCGTAAAGCAGTTTCTTCTAAAGTTTTATCTTCGATGTCTTGCATGCCGCCAGGAAAGCTGACCTGATACAAAAAAAAGGTGAGGATAGTATATTCAAATTGTGTCTATGTTACATACTATAGCAAAAGACAAATTAGGTAATATACGGTGTTCTTAAAGTTGTGACTTTGCCCCGTACGGTCTCACTCTTCGAAAAAATTTGATATATATAAAATATACTGAATCCGATGCTGTCTCTAAGTAAAAGGTGTTTCAGTATCCAACCGAGACGCTGCAGTGTGTGTATGCAAATAGAGCTGTTTATTTAGAAATCGGATTTGAAAGAAAATGAAAACGACCCACTTAAGCAATTATAAAGTTTTCGAATTGATGTTAGTTTATTTTATGGCTTCTTCAAGATAATGCAGACGCCTCGCGATCGTATGCAGATCATTTTCCTGGTCGATTTTACCCCGCACCACGAACGTGCAGCTTGTACAATGGACATCTGTAGGAATAGCAAGGCGGACACGGTAGAAGACCAAATTGAGGAACAAGAAAAAACTTGTGTTTTTAGGGATGCACCGAGTACTCGGTTTAGCAGAGTTTTGAATTACTCGGCAGGTAATTACTCGGTCTGAACGCAAGTCAAAACTTTTATGAATCAAAGTATTGCAGATGGGATGTGCAATTTCTGAGATCATATATATGCCTTTCCCAAAACTCCCCCAAAATAGCCAAGGTTACAGCAATTTTTTGCCATAAACAGTTACATGATTTGGACGATTTTGTAGTAAATATCGACAGTCTTCTCCAGTAAGTATATTTACGATATTGGCGTGGCTTATTTTTTATATACAATGTGTTGCTATTCTATGTTTTTATAGTAATGCCTTTTTGTATTTTTTATTTTGCTCTTTTAAAACAACAAAAACCGTAAAACAGGAGTAACCAGTATCCTATGCCTTTCTGCAAAGAAACTCTTTACTCATATTCTAGGATAATTTAGGTTTATCCTTCCCGAATCTGAATTGGTCTCGGTAAAACATCCAACAGTTTTGTTTCTTTCGTAACCTCCTCCTACAGTCAACTCAGTAACATATAGGAAGTAATTTCACTGTTCGTGAGAAACATGACACGACAGCGATTCAATCAAGCAATTTTTTGAAAATTGAGACCACGCTGCCTATCTTCAACAAAAATGTACATTTAAGATATTTGACAAATGTGCTACTTTTAAAAAACTAGAGATTAAAAATTATATAAAAAACAATTGTACCAAAAATGTAATGTCAAAGTATGGATTCAATTTTAACTCAATATTGTAGCTGATGTGCATTTATACAAATATCAAAAAAATCAAAACTTCTGCAAATACCATAAATACTCCAACCTGAGGTAGTTTATTTAGAAAAAATTGTTCAAGCTGTACAACTGTGATGCGGTAATTAAATCAATTTTTAGAATAAATTAACCTTTCAAAAACACAAATATAATAAATCACTTACAGTAGGTAAAATAAACCTTAGCAAATCAATTCACCGAGTATTCGGTTCTCAGTACCAGGTACTTGGCCTTTTGAAAAAAGTAGTACTCGGTGCATCCCTAGTGTTTTTGAATCGAACGGCGACAACTTCGAATAATATTTATGAAGCCAGCTACTGAAACTGCGTGATACGTAAGCCAACTGGTCGTTAATGCATGGTCATTGTGTGGAAATTCCATCTTTAATTTTTCTGTATGCAGAATGAGTACGGGGCTTAAGAAACGTTCCTGTTCCTTATATTTGTCAAATCTCATTAATTGTATACTTGAATAATGTCCTTGAAAGCTGAATTGCCTTGAGAGTTGAATATGTCCTCATAGTTATAGCGCCCAAAAAAGCCCTCCATTGCAACCTTGTCGCGCCTCCACCTTATGATTGTTCTCGATTCTTTTAAATTGCAACATGCTTGTCTATGCATGCTAATTTCTTCAGTCATATCTTATTCAAGAAATATGTAAAAACTTAAACTGGAAGAGTCCCAAAGTTTAGCGGCATACCAGCATTACAGAGTTGTTAAAACAGTCTCAGCTAAATAAAAGACGGAAGTTCCAGCATCAATGATCGTGTCAGGAATTTATTTGCATCGTTTATCCTGTATACAAATACAAATTAATTTGGAATTTAACCTCTGACTAATAATTGAGCCGTATGCATAAAACAAAGGATATCCTTGTACTTGCAAATTTTGAAGGAAATCCTCCCTTCAGAAATCCTGCTCCAGGTGCAGAAATAAATTATAATAAGCTTTTAAAACAAGAAAGTTATAATTGAACGCTGTTTCGGCCAACTCAAACGTCGGGTTTCCTATCCTACAGTATGTTTGCCGCGTAAAGTTGGAAAATATACCGAAAATAATTATTGCTTGTATTGTACTTCATAATGTTGCGAAGAGCTTGGGCGATCCTGACTTTGAGTTAGTTGAACAAGACCCAGATGAAGATGAAGGAAATCATGAGAATGACGAACTAGGTCAACAAATAAGAAGCAACTTATAATAAATAGTTTTACTGATTAAAGGGTATTTATAAGTTATAATAAGTTTTATTTTCCTGAACATCATGAGTTATGCTTCTGACGCTGCATCATTTCTAATTTCGTTTTATAATACTCTTCTTGTAAAATACTTGTTTGGTACTGCTGTAATAGCACTAGACGTTGCAGTTCTTTTGTAGTTAATCTTTTGGTTTGCTCAGTTTCGTATTTCTCTGTTGCTAATTTTCTTTTTGGTGGCAATGTCTTCTGAATTGCTGGCGCTGTAATACTAACTGTTTGCTCACTGCGCTCGGTATATAGTTCACTTCCTTCTTCTTGAACACTACCAACCTGAATGGCACCTCTAATTTTTCCAATTGTAGGATTACAGTCACCTTCCATAGCTTTCAGCAACTTTCTTTCCCAATCTAACAATTTAATTGCTTTATTACCAGTTTTTTTTTAGATCTGTTTTTTTCTTCAATCTTGATTTCATGTTGTTGATTTTTTTTTAAGTGTCTTTAGTGTCTAATAGTTTACCGAATGTTGATTCGTATTTTTTCAACATCTTTCTCATTTTTATTTTTGGAACTTATAACTTTTGCAAAATAATGGGAGCAATGGCAATTTCATCTGCGATGAACTGCAGGTCGTTTCCATTATTTTCTATAGCTTCCTCATCACTTGAGGATGACACGCTTATTAATTTGATAAAAAACTGTATCCAGTAAAAATACGAAACGGTCTGTGTAAGCTCTGGAGTACAACTGTCAGTGATGCTGAGTGAACGAACTCCCACGTCAACTACAAGCTGGAACAAGTCAGGACATGTCGCTCAAGATACAAATCCCAGTCATCCTTTTACTTCTTCTTGGAGGATATCCTCGCGAGTATAAGGTAATCATTATGAATATGAAAACAAGGATATCTTATACTTCTACCTTTTTCTCCGAAGCAAGACCTTTTACTTTTACCTTATGCTTCCGAGAATATACTTCTCATTTATGAATACGGCTCATTAGGTCTGGAATCTGCACTGTAGTAAAGACGTGTCATGTGTCCAACGTGCCACATGGCACGTTCGGGCTCTTGTCGGTAAATTTGACCCGCGTCAAATTGTTACAACCTCTCTCTCTTTATAGTCGGTGGTTACAACGGTGGAAGCATGGTTCATTACGCTCCACACGAGATGTCATATGTTTGATGGTTTTAGGTTAGAACCAGTAGCGGCGACAAACATTATTTATTTGTTTGCTGTGATTGTGGTGATGTAGTGGTATGTGGAAAGTATTGTGATTTGAATACCTACCTATTCATAATAATGTATGTTCCCTAACTAACTTTTGAGGAGAATGGATTAGATTAGTACACACAGTGGCGTAGCTAGGTAACCTTGGGCCCTGGGGCAAATAAAAAAATGGGGCCCCATTGCTATCAAAACTGGTAAGGTTTTATGAAGTAAAATCATTAAATATACAAATACTTAAAAAATGCTAAGCTATTTTATCATCAGCTCTTTTTCATGCATTGCAAGGCAGGTAATAAATATATTAAACACTAACAACATAAATTACAATTATTTTAATAATTGGAGTAGGTATTGGGCAATAAAACGAAATAGAAAAGATTCAAGGGTTTATTATGTAAAGATTGGACCTACCAACTGATTAAATAGCTATTATAATCACAATCTTTTCCTAGCTTTAGTTTTCGCAAAAGTATCAATAAGTTCGGTTAAATCCAGACTTGATGCGATTTTGTTCTCAATTGCTGTTAGCGATAAATGTCGGAGTCGAGTTTGGCCCATACTATTTCTTAAATACTTTTTTATTATTTTTAATTTGCTAAATGACCTTTCAGCTGCTGCAGAAGCGACAGGAATTGTAAAGAATAATAACATTGCTGTAAATACTTCTGTTAGATCGCATTCTAGCACTCCATATTTACTCATTATTTCATACATAATTGGTGAACAGTCCATGCTTGAGTTAATTGAGGTGCAAGTAGGTGGTAAATATTAACAAATTGAAGTGAAAAGCTAGGGCCTATTATATCTGAATATTTTCTTTGGAATTCGTCACACTTTTGTAATAAAGTTGCTTCATCAACAAGTAATAAAAATGTTGCTGTTAGAAAATCTAATGTTTGACAGACTACACTCATACCAGTAAACCGTGTATTTAATTGAGCTATTAATGTATCAAGTACATTATTGAAAATCTCAATTTTAAATATCTCTTCTTGGTTTGAAAATCGGTGATCAGCAGTTAATTCATAGAAATGTTTTTTAGGGTAATAACGCACGAGCCGCTAACCGCGGCACTTCCCCGCGGTACCGCTCATCCGCCACCCGCCGCGGTGCGCGGCTCGTGCGTTGTTACCCTTATTAAGTCGCGTACACATCTGGCGAACGCATGTGGCCGAAGCCTTTCGACCAAACGCCGTCGGTAAATGTGTACGACCTAACAAACGCATGTGTTTGCCTTCGCGAGAGTTCGGTCACTGGGCGGTACATCAAAAGAAAATTGAAGAACGAATTCGTTTGGCTGTGTTTAGTGTGTACGC